AGTGTTTCCCTCGCATGACAGACACCTTTAACAATCGTGCAACCAATGCTATCCCCCTCCCTGGGGAAGGCCAGATGGTGGGGAGATTTCAGACATGTCTGGTTGCAGTTACCTACCCAGATCTCATTGACTCCCTGCAGAATGGACTCACCCAGGCTCCACAGACACCTAGAGAACACGAGCAGGCTTTTGGGGGATCCATGACTCCCCTGCAAAATCTTAAAACTGGCCTTTGTAAAACAGAGTTTGTGTTATAGGATAAAAATACTATTTCTCTCCAAATAGCTGTGAGATGGTGTGAGACACTACTGTGCTTAGCAAAACAGACACAGTGACCACAGGAATCACAGGAACATTCTGGGGAGAGGGGCTGAGTCCACCCAGGCACTGGCCGTGCACCAGCCGCATGAGAAGTACCCTCCGCAGACCTGCCTCTCCACAATCATCCTGCACCCGTTAGTACCACACTGGAGACATAAGGAAAGAGGCCCAGGGAGGTGAGGACTGCTCAGTCAAGATGTGGAGGGTGAGACTGGATCCGAGGCTGGATCTGAGGTGGGTCCAGCAGTGACAGCATTGTCATCTCATGGTGATATCCAGACCGAGTTCCACTGCAGAGGAAACAGGGCATCCTCTCTCTCCTGACTTTGCTGCTGCCAAGGTAGCCACCCCACACTGCCTTGTGTGGCGAGAAGCTGACTGTAGAAACCTGAAAACCGCCCTCCTGCTCTGAGTCAGGGCAGCTCCACCACCTGCTCTGGCTGATTTGAGCAGACTTGATGAAAAGAGTTCAATGTAGAAAAGGGAGGCCAGGCAGCACCAGTGCCACCACCACAGTCAGCACTCGCAGGAGGTGCAGCCCCCAGCCCAGCTGCCCCCACCCTATAGACCCTGCTGGGCTATGCCTCCAGTATCAGCGTGCTCTAAAATATGTAGGAGGATACAGAGTCTCCCTTTACTCTCAATTCAGAAACGAGAAAGAGAGAGAATTGTGAAAGCAAATTGGGTGCATCTCTCTCTCCTGTTGAGCATTCAGTGGTGTCATGCTAATAGTTTTGAAATGACCATGTCAAGAGCATTTACACCACAGAAAGTGGCAACCACTGCACTTCCTCTCCCCCACAGCTGGCTTGTTAAACATTTTCCATGACACTGGGATGGTCCCTCCTCCGGGCCTGCTGAAATCACCCTGGGGGTCAAGTTCAACTAGACCCCCTCAGCTAATTCCTTCCCCTTCCCTGGCATCTCTTTGAGTTTAGCTTGGTCCTGCCCATAAGTCCATAAATGACTTGCTGGTCTCCCCCTTAAGAATATAGATCAGTTCGTATTTGATTTATCATCATACCTATCCAGATCAATTTTTAAAAGACTCTAGTTTTCTGAATAGCTTCCAATTTGTCCATATACCACAACTACCACAGTAGACACAGTGAGCAGCGCTGCAGGGGTTAACAAGGATAACAGAGATAAAACACTTAGTATTTTAGACAGCGTTTTGGAAAACACTTTGCAGTGAAAAAGGACGACATAATAGTTTTTACAGTCTTCACAGCCCAGACAGCAGATCCGTAAGTCACAAAATGTAAAAAATAGGGGGAAAATAATACACAGATCTTTGGGATTAAGGACCATTTTATTGCTCATTAGTGCCAGATTGTGGTTTCTAGTCTGAATTACTTAACATTTAGAGCAGAAAGAAAGGAGGAACAGTTCTAAGTGGGACCATCCAAGGGGAATCTTGGCTAAGGCTCCCGCACCCACCCCAGTCCCCTACAAAATGCTTTCTTTTTTTCTCTGTAGGCTTGATTGTCCCATGGGAGCTGATTGCACAAGGAAGAATATTTTCCTATAATTGTCAGCAGAACATTTCATAAAATAGCCTCTAGCTAGGTTTTTAATAGACAGTGGCCGGTTCTTTGGGAGTATCTGAGCATTCTCACGCCTTGGAGAGAGTCCTCACCGTGTTTGTCAATGCGCAAGTATGCCGGAAAGATTCAGAGGGCCAAGGGAAAACAGAAGTCTACCCTGTGAACAACAACGTCTGTGCATTTCACAGTGGTAAAAAGCCGATTGGCTACTGAATTTCCCCTTGATTACTATTGAACACATAATTGCTATACAATTAAAATGTAATTATACTGTCAAAGGATAATTCTACAGTTACTCTAGCATAGTGATTTACAAAACTGAAAACATTTTTAAAAGAATTCTGAAATTTCCTTTCCACATCACATTGCTAAATACTTTACTAATTAGTGCCTTTCTGGGCATCTCTCCAAGAGCTTCTTAGCTGCCACATTTTTAAGGTCAACTGTACAAATATTAGCTTATCATCTACTCAGGGCTTCTGAAAACATGGTATTAGTTATCAGGAGTGATCTAATTATTGCTTTGTTTGGAGAATAGATAATAAATTATTTGTGCCTCTGAAACATCCCACATTCCCGGAGCTCAAAACCTTATCATAATTCCTTTGGATAAAGAATTACCAACTCTTGCTTGAGACTCTGAAGAAGGAAAAAATAGAAAAGAAGGAAGGAAAGAAGGGAGAGAAAAAGAAAGAGAAAAAGAGAGAGAGAAGAAAAGAGACGAAATGAAAGCAGGGTTTGCTTCCGAGGTTCCGTGGAGGGTTCCAGGACGTGGGTGTTGTGGGAGCCTCTGTTTCTCCCCCTCCATTTGTTCCTCTGCTGCTTCCTGGGTTCCCTTTCTCTCACCCTAGTCTTTTGTCTCCTCCTTCCGTTCTTTCTTTAAGCTTCTTCCTTCCTCTCATCTTTGCCTCCTGTGAACCCTCATGGAGAAAGGTCAGTCCTCCCACCAGGCTCAACTTCAGGTCTCTGCTACAAACCTGAAATCAGATAATTTTAGAAAACTGTGTACTATATGTTTAGTAGTGTGTAATTAAAGCTTTGCTTCACTCATAAGATCTGGTTTTGTTTGTTTTCTTGTATATGCCAGGGGCAGTGCCATCTGAGAGCCCATTTTTTCTTTCTTAATGATCATTTACTAAATGTTAGGTATCTGCACTTTTGTGCCACAGGGAAAAGGGAATGATTAGTTTTGTAATTCTTGCTGTGGAAAATTCTTTGCAGCGATGGAATCAGCTAAGCCTGGACTGTTTGTTGTATCCTCAAATGTTCCTCATCTCCAAACGGACATTTGAAGTCTTCTTAGGCTGGGCGCAGTGGCTCATGCCTGTAATCCCAGCACTTTGGGAAGCCAAGGCAGGTGGATCACTTGAGGTCAAGTAGTTCGAGATCAACCTGGCTAACATGATGAAACCTCTTCTCTACCAAAAAAATATAAAAATTAGCTGGGCATGGTGGTGGGTGCCTGTAATCCCAGCTACTTGGGTGGCTGAGGCAAGAGAATTGCTTGAACCCGGGAGGCAGAGGTTGGAGTGAGCAGAGATGGCACCAGTGCACTCTAGCCCGGGCAACAGAGTGAGACTCTGTCTCAAAATAATAATAATAATAAATAAATAAAAATAAAAAATCTTCATTGAGTTTGAGGTTTGGGCATGCAAATCATGTGGAACTCATAGTCTTTGTCAAGATTCTTAAATTATGAGCAACAGAAATGAAGGCTAAGTTGTCTAAGGAAAAAGTAGAAGGTTCTTAAGTTATAAGGATTAGAAGTAAATCAAATAGATTAAGGAAAAGGTGGGGTTATACGACATATGGGTTCTGGAGTGTCTCCAGGAGCCAAGAATGGGAGTGAGTTGGATACAGGATGAGGAAGGCTTGGAGGACTCGCCATGGCTCTTCTCTGGGCCATCAGCCTCATTTGCTTTCTCTTCGTAGACATTTGCTTTCTCTTTGCTTCCTTGGGCACCTGGATAGGGCACAGATACTCGCCCTCAGCTCTGAAAGGCACATTGCCAGCCGCCTGCTGGTTGCCCACACAGAATTTCACTTTATACTCCCGAGGCGAAAACTGGTCTAGGTTAGGTCCAGTGTCCAACCCCAGAGACACCCAGAGATACTGCCAGGGGATCAAGTCAGGTATAGCAGAGACCACCTTCACCTGCTGTCAACCACAGCATCACACTGACAACACCTTGCTAGAGTGTGGGAGAGCAGAAACCACCTCACCTCAATCCTTCCTTCCCAGCTTCGTGGCCCTTCACACGTCTCTCTCCTCACCTTGGTTTCCTTGAGAGCAAATCTGTGCTGTTAATTTCAGAGACTGATTGAAATTGCATATGTAAATGTAAACACTCTAAAACAAATAGGAAATGGCTTTGTTTTGCTAATCTGAAAGCACTGATAAACTTCCCGAAGGAATACATTGATTGTCACCTGCAGTTGGCTTGTGGGGATGTCATATTAAATGCAAGCCCAGAACCAGTGGGATCTGCTGGTTGTCCCCAATGAGGACTCAGGGCCAGAAATGCCTACGGGGGTCTTCTAGTACAACCTACAAATAAAAATGCTAAAAATAAAGTACAGCGCTTTCCATTTCAAATAGGCTACAATGAGAATGTTCAACACTGGGTGGTAACTGAGGTAGTCAAACTGGACTTCTCATGGTGAGAAAAGGGAGTTCCATATTGACCAGCATCACTGTGACTCTTTTAATGAGTCTTCAGAACCTTGTAAAAAATTATCTGCACTGTATAAAAAAAGAAGAGGTTGTAAATAGAAGCATTTCATATTTTTAAATTTTTATTTATTTATTTATTTTGAGACAGAGCCTCACTCTGTCGCCCAGGCTGGGGTGCAGTGGTACAATCACAACTCTCTGCAGCCTTGACCTCCCTGGGCTCAGGTGATCCTCCCACCTTAGCCTCCTGAATAACTGGGCTACAGGCATGCGCGCTCACTCGTGGCTAATTTTTGTATTTTTTTGTGGAGATGAGGTTTCACTATGTTTCCCGAGCTGGTCTCAAACTCCTGGGTTCAAGCAAACCACCCGCTTCAGCCTCCAACAGTGCTGGGATTAAAGGCATGAACCACTGTGCCTGGCCTCATATTTTTTAAAGATGCAAAAATAATAATACCATTTATAATCATCACAATTCTCATTGCTTATGCTATGTGGCAAGCACTATGCTACATGCTTTATGGATGTTATCTTCAAATGAATTCTGTGACATAGGGTTGCAATCTTTATTTTGCAGTGGGGGATCCTGAAGTTCAAGAAAGCTGCATGACTCTGGAAGACCTCACGTGAGTCCTGGGTAGCCAGGACCAGCAGAGGAAACTCCCACTCAGGGACACACTGTGGGACAGAATGCAGCAGCTGCCTAAAGACCAATGCTCAGCGATTTCTGCTTTTAGGTATATTTTCTGAAGATGACCCTACATGTAAGAGGAAAGAGAGGGCTAAACATCTTAAAACAAACAAACACACAAAAAAACCAAAACACTTGGACCTTGGAAGGCAGTATTTCAGCTCATATAGTGGGAACTGAAAATACACTTGATTTACTGAGTTTGCAAGAAGAAAACAGAAAAGCACAGCAGAGGTCAGTGTGGATTTTGGAGGGAGGGCTTTGCCAGTGCTGAAAACAGTGATTTGCACTGAGATGGGACAGAAGGTTCTTCCCAGCGTGTTCTTCACAAAAGCAGTGAGAAGCAAGGAGGCTTCACTGAGATCTGTCAGCCAGGAGACAGGAAACTCCAGGGATGAGAAGGTTAGAGTCTTTCCAGCCGTGGCTGAAAGACTTGTGGGTTGGGGTAGGAGCCCGAGGGGTTGGGGGCACCATCCACCAGAGCTCCTGAGTACAGAGGCTGCTCAAGCTTCACAGGAGAGGGCTGAAAGCAGGTTGAGGATGCCTGGTTTGGCCAATGAGATTGGCCTGAGATTCACTTTGGGAAGAGCTTTAGCTGCCCAAGGACAAGGTGCCCTTGACATGGCCAGCCTGGACAATATGGTGAAACCCTGTCTCTACAACAAATACAAAAATTAGCTGGGCGTGGTGGCGTGTGCCTGTAGTCCCAGCTACTCGGGAGGCTGAGGTGAGAGGATCACCTGAGCCCTGGGAGGTTGAGGCTGCAGTGAGCTGCAGCTGCACCACTGCACTCCAGCCTGGGCCACAGAGGGAGAACCTGTCACTTTGTCTGCTCCTGACAGAGTTCCTAAAACCCTTGTCGATGGGGGCACCAGGAGAATCTTTTGTTCTAATGTTTGGCTTTTACCCTGGTTCCTGACATAGAGCTCCTAATCCTTTGGAATTTCCTGAGTGACAGAAGCATCTTTTGTCCTAATGAAGTGTCCTTGATGGACTCCTGGACAGCGTCAGGATTGGGGGGCTGCCTGTGAGGGGAACCACCATGCAATTAGAGGATTGGAACTTTCAAACCTGCTCCCTTACCCCTGGCATCTGGGGAGAGGTGAGGGACTGAGGTTGAGTTGATCACCAACGGCTGATGATTTAATCCATCACGCCTGCATAACAAAGTCTACATATAGCCCCCAAAACTGGGTTCAGAGAGCTTCTGTATAGCTGAACGTGGGAAGGCGCCTGGAGGGGGGTGCCTTGGAAACTCCCTGCTCTCTCTCACACGCTGCCATGCCCACCTCTTCCATCCGACGGTTCATCTGTGCTCTTTGTAATACCCTTTATGCTGAATGCATAAACATAAGGAAGGTGTTTCCCTGAGATCTGTGGAGCACTCTAGCAGATTAATTGAACCTGAGGGGGGTGTTGTGGAAACCCCCAGTTTACAGCTTGTCAGTCAGAAGCACAGGTGACAACCTACTACCTGTGGTTGGCATCTGAAGTAGGGGGCAGTCTTGTGAGACTGAGCCCTCCGCCTGTGGGACCTGATGCTGTCTCTAGTTAGATCATGTCAGAACCGAATTGGATTAGAGGACACCCAGCTGGTATCTGCTGGACAATGGGTTGCTGGTGGGGACAAATCCCCATAGTGCCTTTTGGTGACCACAGAGTAAGTATTCTGTGTTGAGTCTAAGAATAGGAAAATGTTTGTGTTTTCATCAGACCTGCCTTGAATTGTTTTCTCACCTCTCCCTCTTCTCCCCTGCTTTTCACCTGGCTAATCCCTTTTGGTCCTTAAAATCTTGGGTTATTTTCTCCAGGAAGCATTTGCAGCCCTCTGGGCCAGCCTCTGCACACCCACTTGCAGGCTTCCTGCTATCACTTGTCGCATTACATTGGCATGTATTTATGGGCCGTTCTCGGCCTTGGAGCATATGCTTCTCAGGGGAATGTGTCTCACTTCTTATTGCATCTCCAGCAACTAGGAGAGTACCTGGTGCAAAGTAGTTGTTCAGTGAGTTTGTTGAACTGTACCAAATAGCCTTGGTGGCAGGAATAGAAGCATAGCATAGCTGTCGTGACACACATTGGGAAGAAGACTCTGTGAAAAGGATGCACTCCTGAGCTGTGGAATAATTCAAATCTGCCTAATCCAAGAGTGACCTGGGCAGAGGAATCCAGGCATGGCTGTCCACCAGCTCACACAGCACTGCCTTGCCGCAATGGCAAAGATGTGGTTTCAAAGTCCTGCAGCTCACCAGCCTTGAAATTAGGTGATTCTTGACGTTTGGGCTTTAAGGCGTTGTATTATTCCAAATATTTGCATATAGTTAAGTTATATTAATTTAAAAATAGATATAATTTCAAATTTGCATAATTTGAATTCACAAACAGTATTTATCATTGAATCGTAAGCAACACACAGAGGTGGTCTGATCACCCCTGAAACTAGAGCTGAAGGGAGCTGGGCCAGGAGAGGAGCAGGAAGGCAGAAGCAGGTGGAGCACCTGACATGGCTGGGCTGACTCAGCAGGCGATGCACCCCAGCGAGGGGGAGGGCACTGAACTGACAGTGATGACAGCAGCTGATTTCTTTGATTTTTCTAGGCACAGTAAGGCCCTGAATGTGTTATTCAGTTTAATCCTCACAGTACCATGCAGTGTGGGTTCTGTTACCGATGAAGAAACTGGGATACAGAGGGAAGTGGAGGCGTCTTGCCCAAGATCGCACTGTGAGGATAGTCAGTGTCTCAAGCCAGTGCTCTGACTGTAGATTCGCATGCTTTACTCCTCCATCTCTGCCCTGGTCCCCGTATTCCTCTCTAACTCATGAATTGATGTTGTTACCTCTTAAGAAAACCTTATGCAGAGTCGGCTGAATTCAACAAACCCTTCTCGGGCACCCACTGTGTTAGGGAGCAGTTCCTCCCTGCACTCAAGGCATTCACTGTACAGAAATTTGAGTTGCCCAAAGTTGACCTTGCTGGACTGTGGCCACTTTCGAGAGTCTCCAAAGCCCAGAGTGAAACAAATAAAAAGTAAACGAGAGCTTCAGTGGTCTAGAAATTGCTCATGGTGAACAGTCCAAACCCACCTACAGCTGGAGCCTGAGGCCACAGGAATGGCCACAGACACGGCACTGCAACAAAGACCATCCGTGGCCTAGGCATGCTGCTGTGTTAGACGATTCTGCCACCCTGTAATTATACTAGCTTATTGGCAGTGGCTTTTATGACCAGGCTAGGCAGTTTGCCCCCTGTCCACAAATGTCTACTCACCAAAGAGTAGTAGTTCTAAAAGAGAGATGCTGGTTTTATGCTGTGGCAGGGAAACAAGACACTGCTGTGTTTTAGCTTTTCCTGGTTCCTCTCTGAAACAGTTCAGCAGGCTGGCATCAGCTAGAGACTGTTAATAACATGATATGTGATTCTGGTCAACCTCATTCTCTGGAGGGAAATTTGCAGTGAAGGTTCTGTGATTATGATCAGAGCTCCCCAGTGTTCATGGCAAATACCAAATGGAAGGCAGACTTGCCGCAGGACCGTCTCGTCTCCATCCACAGAACTCAGTGTTCTCTGGTTTCTCGAATGCAAACCAAACCAAAACGAAATAATAGATTTTCCTTTAAGATTGAACATAGATGGGTATACTTGAAAACTGACACTCCATGAATTTAAGGAGGCAGGACCTTAAACTAAGTTGGTCCTAGATTAGGATAAGGGTTGTTATGGGTTTGGGGGACAGTAGATTTCTCTGAAATGAAATGAAAGTTGGTTGAACTTTCATTTATGAAATGAAATTTTCATTTTGTATGTTAGAACTGTATGGAGCCATACTAGCAGCAACCACAGGTATCCTGAAAACGTGTGCAGCAAGCCCTTGGGGGACTGACGATGACAAATGAATGGAACTTCAGAATATAATACTGGTTTTTAAGTCCATTTGCATCCACTTAACTTCGAGGTTCTGTTCTTATCAAGTGTAAATAAGAAGAACAATACCAACCTACTTTGCAGTGTCTTTATACTGAGATGATTGGGAAGAAACTCAGCCAAGATCATACATGCACAAGGATGGAATATAGAATGTTTTAAAAATATCATCAATATGACAAAAGATTAATATTTCTACACACAGCTCTTAAAGATAAATAAGAAAGAAAACCCAAGAGAAAAATGGGCAATGAGTATGAACAAGCAATTAATGGAGGAAATACAATGGCTATTAAATTTAGGAAAATGTTTAAACTTACTATCAAAGAAAGAAATGCAATTAAAGTGGGGAAATATTTTTTTCTGCCAAATTGGAAACATGAAATTGAGGTTGTCTGGTGTACTGAGGGTAGGGGGAGATAGATACAGTTGCACACTAAATGTGTAGACTGAGATAAGTGTTTCAAAGGTCCTTTAAAAAATTTTTTTTTTCTTTGAGACAGAGTCTCGCTCTGTTGCCCAGGCTGGAGCACAGTGGCATGATCTAAGCTCACTGCAAGCTCCGCCTCCCGGGTTCATGCCATTCTCCTGCCTCAGCCTCCCGAGTAGCTGGGACTACAGGCACCCACCACCACACCCGGCTAATTTTTTGTATTTTTTAGTAGAGACAGGGTTTCACCGTGTTAGCCAGGATGGTCTTGATCTCCTGACCTCATGATCCGCCCACCTCGGCCTCCTAAAGTGCTGGGATTAAAGGTGTGAGCCACTGCGCCCAGCCCTGTTAAAATTATACATCAACATTTTAGGTTTCTCATCCTTTGATAGGAGAATTCCACTTCCAGGAGTTTGTGGCTATGGAATGGTAGCTCAAGTGCGTGAAACTGTATGTATAAAGATACTTTTAAAAAGGTTTTGCTGGAAAAGTGATATCAAAAGGGAAAAAAATCCCTTTAACTACTTCTCCAAATGGAAACGTGTTTAAATTTCTTTCCTACTGTGCTGGACAAAACTTTGTGTAGCAAGGCAAAATGTTTATTTTGCAATTTGACTTGACCTCTTTAGAAACTATCCCAACTGTGGTTGAGTTTTTAATCTTTACAGTAAACTTTTTTTGGAAGAAAAAGGGCAAATCTTGCCAAGAGTAGAAACTCATGTCTGGGTACAAATTAGACCGTGCTTATGTTGTTATGGTGACCCTGTCATTTAAAAAAATGTAAACTAATATCTTGGAAGAGTTAATGAGCTCCATGAAAGGACTGGATTACATTCGGGAAAAGACACTGGCTGAGTTTCTGAGTCATCAGTGAAATTACTGAGCAAATTGATATCTGGGCACCATGTGTAGTTTGGTCAAATTTGATGGTTAAAGAGATTACATGAGAGTCAGAGGTTGTGCCCTGGCCTGTTCTAGAAATAAGAAAAAGCAAATGCAGCTTTTTAGCCCTTATTTTTACACTCCATAGAAATGCTATGCTGTAAGTTAAGTCATAAACCTTTTGATGCACAAACAACATAGCGTCGAAATATATATAACTGCAAATTGTTAGAATTGCTAGGAGAAATTATCAAGACACAGTAACAATGCAAGACATTAATGCACCAATTCAGAATTTGACAGAAACAAAAAAGAAAGAAAAAAGGATATGAATGCTGCAATTAACATGTTTATTTTAATAGATACAACGAATTTTGTACCCTACTAATAGATACTAATAGAGGCTTATCCCCCTCAAATAACCAGGGAATATTTATAAAATTTGGCTATATGTAGGCTAAAGGAAAACTTGATTACTTACCTCAAAGTAGAAATTACACATCTCATTATTTAATCATTTGTATTAAATCTAAAAATAGGCTGCAAACAAATAATGAGACATAAATTATAAGTATACTGTGACATTTTGAAAGCACTCTTTCAAAACAGTTTTGAGTCAAAAAGTAAATCAATTTATTGTTAAAGTAAATTTACAAATGGGTTGGAAATTAATAATAACGAGAAAAATACAAATCAAACATGCAAATCAAAACTATAAATAGTGTTGTCAATTCAAATCCAAAACTTTAAAAGCCTTTACTATTAGAGAAGAAATACTTTTAAGGATTAACAAGGAATATTCAACTCAAGAAGTACATAAAAACAAAAATAAGCAAAATCAGGTATTAATCATGATAGAAGAACACAATTAAGTTAGAAATAAAATGCATAGAAATAATAAATAGAGTGAAGATCCAGCTCTTTGAAAAGATTAACAAAATAGAGTTGTTTTGGGGAAATGTCACCAAGGGAAAAAAAGAAACAAATTAAAACATATAATATTTGGAATTAGAAAGATGGTATCACCACAGATAGACGGCAAACTAAAACTTTTCAAATAAAGAATTTTTTTTTTTTTTTTTTTTGAGACAAGGTCTCACTCCCATCACCCAGGCAGGAGTGCAGTGGCATGATCACAGCTCACTGCAGCTTCAACTTCCTAGGCTGAGGTGATTCTCCCACCTCAATCTCCTGAGTAGCTGGGACTACAGGCAAGAGCCACTGAGTCCAGCTAATTTTTGTACTTTTTGTAGATGGGGTTTTGCCATGTTGCCCAGGGTGGTCTCAAACTCCTGGGTTCAAATGATAAGTGATCCTCCCGCCCTGGCCTCCCAAAGTGCTGGGATTACAGGCGTGAGCCACTATGCTTGGCCAAGAATAAGTTTTTTATAGTGGTAATATTCTCTCTCTCTCTCTTTTTTTTTTTTTTGTAGCTCATACTTTATTTTTATTTTTAAATTATACTTTAAGTTCCAGGGTACATGTGCACAACGTGCAGGTTTGTTATGTAGGTGTACATGTGCCATGCTGGTGTGCTGCACAATGGTGGTAGTATTCTTAATAACAAAAAACCCAAGTACACGTTCATCAATAGATAAATCAAATGTATTACATCCACTCTGTGGAATAGATGGTGCTGTTTAAAAGTGTGAGATAGGCCTTTATGTACTAATATGGAAAAATTAGAATTACATATGTAGAACGCTTTAACTTGTGGGCAGAAGGATGGGTATGTTTTTCATCTTTGCTTCCATGTACATTTAAAAGCTCTAGAAGAAAACATCAAAAATGTTTGATAACACTGGATAGATGCTTGGGTATAGTGCACGGCAGGAACTAATTAGATGGAATCAGAGAAAAGGGAGATTTTTTTTTTCTGTATATATACCTTTATACTTTTGCCCTTAGAAATTTGTGAATGTATGACCTATTCAGTAAGTTAAATAAGTAAAATAGAAGTGTTGTGAATAGAATTTAAGCAGATTATGGCCAAGCATGGTGGCTCACGCCTGTAATCCCAGCACTTTGGGAGGCTGAGGCAGGTGGGTCACCTGAGGTCAGGAGTTTGAGACCAGCCTGGCCAACATGGTGAGACCCCACGTCTCTACTACAAATACAAATATTAGCCAGGCATGGTGGTGGGTGCTTGTAATCCCAGGTACTTGGGAGACTGAGGCAGAAGCGTCTCTTGAACCTGGAAGGCGGAGGTTGCAGTGAGCCGAGATCACACTACTGCACTCCAGCCTGTGCGACAGAGTGAGACTGTCTCAGAACAAAACAAACAAACAATTCAAGAAAATGAGGAATCTAGATGTGGTGATGTCTTTTCATACAGGCTGCAGAAATGGGTGAAAGGAGCAGTGTCAAAGCTTAGCATGCCTGTCATCTCAGCATCCTCCAGTTACATCTTTCTAACCCAATGCATCTGTGTGGGGACAACACCATGCAAGTTTGCCCTTGGAAGCTTTTTCAAAACCATCCTTTCTTCTTTAGCTGACCCTGCCCCTGCTCTGGGCTGGGCTGTCACAGCCCTCTGACCAAGTCTCCTGCCTCAGTGGCTTGGCCCTGGTCTGCCTTTCCTGGCACCTGCATCCTGTTAAGACCACCAGCTCCGCATGTGGAGAGCTGGGGTTGCTACTGCTCCTGCTGCATGCCGGCCTCTTGGTTCTGAGTTAACCTTACCTTCCTGAGCCATGTCCCTCACCTGGAAAACGGGAATCATCCTAACGGCACTTCCCTTACTGGGCTCCCCTGAGGATTGAATGAAATAATGAAGGAAACGTGCTCAGCAGGAGACATACCCTGCCCTCTATAAGCCTTCACTCCTGTCACTGCTGGATCTCACTATGGCTGGCACAGAGGTGTCACTCAGCGCTGCCTTCAACCGGAGGTGGTCGCCTGGAGCCTCCACCAGTCGGCTCCTTCAAAGTCCACTCTCGGCTTTTGAATCCAGGTCCTACTCTTCTCAGGGAGGTCCCAGACTGTGTAGGCTGGGTCTGGGGTGGGTAGTTGCGGTAAAAGGGCCCAACCCTGTCTACCAGTGTGGGCCTCCATCAATGGGAAGCCCTTTGTAGGGGCAGGGGAGCTCTGTGCCATCTCTTTTTCCTTCTCAGATGTCATCACTGACATGTTCCTGGGTCTAAGTCTGTTTCCTGAAGAACCCAGCAGGCCAGCTTGTCAGTTCACTTTACCAGACCCCATCCGCCTGAGAGCTAAAAGCCTTGACCTCTGTGTTATGGCCACGGTCTTAAAGGCCATCCTCTCATTTCTTCACCCTGTAAGTTTTGCTCATCCTTCAAGAAAAACCTGTTTGCTTGCTAGTCTTCCCCAAGACCCTGAAGTGATGTGCCCCTCCAAGCCCCAGGTCACTCTGCACATTCCCAGGGTTGCCTGGGCGACGGGCAAAGCTGGCACCACCATAGGCAATGGGGCACCCAACCCACTCCTCAAATCTATGGTGTAAAATCTGTGGCAATAATTTGCCTTAATTTTCCCTATGCACTCTACATTCTCACTAAATATTATGGAATTGTTGAACTTAAATTAGAAGTTTCGTGAGAAAGATTTTCCTCCCCTTCTTTTAATAGAATTATCCATTTAAGAGAATCGTACACTTAACAGATTCAATACATTCTCCCCATGTGATTCTAATAAATGGAACCACCCAGGCCCTTTAAACGTTCAATTATGTTGGGGGTTGAAGGGGCATGTGTTTTCTTTTTACACAGTATTTTGACTTAAAAAAAAAATCTGAAATGAATCCGAATTCCTCCATACAAATACTGGTAAATGTATTCACAGGGTCATCATTCACAGCTCCAGCGGGAAGCTTGGGAATCATAACCTTACATCAGTGTCCAGGCTGTCATTTCCAGGCTAATTACCAGCCGGCTGCTGAGAGGACACTCAGATGACCGCTTGGTGAACACAGGGCAAAGGGGATCCCGTGGGAGAAGCTGATCAATGGGCTGTGAGCTCAGGGACCCATCTGGACTCTGGGGCGTGGCCTCAGCTTGATGAGGTATACAGCCTGCCTCTGATTGAATTTCCTTGCACTTACTCTGAACTCAGGAGGATCAGAAAGATGTGAGTCGGTAGGACCAACACTCAGCTCCTCCCCAGCCTGGCTCTGAGACCCTCTGTGAACCCCAGTGTCCTTGCCTGGGACAAATAGATTCGCTGATCTCCACTTTATTGGGCCCTTCCGAAAAGTAAATGAGACAATGGCAAGGAGTATTTAGTGGAGGCTGAATCAGAAGCACAGGACTGGGGGATTGGATGAATTTTAAATGAGATCTGGTCGGATCTCCTGAGACTGTAAGTGAGGGAGCGGCAGCACGACAGGGGAAGAGATTTCCTCGCTGGTTCCTGGAAGAGTGAGTCTCAGGACCCAAGTCTCCAAGCAGTCCATCCTGAGCGTCCCGTCAGCTCTGCCTCGCTGATAAAACGTCTAGCGATGACATTAAAACCCAACATGTGTTGACTTTATCCCGTGCCAAGTCCTTTTCACTCATTATCTTCAATCCACAAACAACCCTGTGAAGCTGGTGGTATTACTTCCCTTTTATGGATGAGGACACCTCGGTTCAGAGTAGGGCAACTTGCTCAAGATTATGCAGCTAACTGCTGGCCGTAGAAGATTGGAACACCACTGGCATCCACAATGATGCTGGCGTCTGTTACCCAATCAGGCCTCCCCCGTAAGAATCCATACTGCCTCCCAATCCTCAGTAGTAATGGGAGTTTTACTTCACTCTCCAAACAGGTATCACACGTTGTAGTAGTTAGAGTTCATGTATATAGAGGAAAACAAATGTATTATGTGTTTAAATAATGCATTTAAAAATGAATGTTATTACATGTTTCTTTTTCAAAGACATTTTTATTTTATGTTGATAGTTTTCCCAGCTTTGTGGCCCATGACAGAAAAGAGAAGTAAAGAAGATGCGTGCGCGTGCACGCGCGCACACACACACACACACAAATTTCTCCTTGTTACTCTCCCCTTTAAAAAAAACTAACTTGTTCCTTCCCCAAAATATTTATACTTTAATTAAAGTGGCCTAAGGCAAAACTAATTTTCACGAGAGATTACTCTTCACTGATCTCCAATTATAGGCAGTTGCTATAGTTACACCTGAATTAAGCGAGATACATGATATAATAACTTCACAATGTAGAACTTCTCCCAGAAATGTGTTGCCTACTTCCACCATCTATTGGGTAAGTTGAAAGGCTTTTCAAGGCTCCCTATTCCAAATTGGCTTCAAGAAAGGTTTAATGGCAGGGAAAGGGAGGGGTCAAAGGGAAGATCAAGAGTTTTTTACAGTGGTGGTGTGCTTCTGTGCCGTCACTGTGTATTTTGTGAAGACACTGAATAAAGCAGTGACTCTTTAACAAAATCTATGAATTAGGCCCCTTAGTTAGTGTCAACCTAAACTTCTGCCAGGGCTGAAGTGGTGGGGGATGGTTCCTACTAGGTAGAACTTGAAAGCTCTGTGAGAGACATGTGTATAGTATATATTTATTTAATAGTTTCAAGTGCGGACAAGACCACGAATAATGTTTATTTTCATAAAGAAAACTGTTAAAAGGATGACAACGACAAAATTGCATGTGGCAATGACTTGTATTTTTTTTTTTAATTCCCCAATGGCCTTGTTTAGTATGGAGAATGTTGAAAACCACACATCAACTATTGGCAGGTAAACACCAAAAAGGTTTTCTTGGGTATTGAAAAATGTTGACTACGAGACAGAATCAAAGATATGGCTATTTTTCTTCTTTTTAACTTAGTTCATAATTTTATTATTAAATAAATAGCCAACAATAGACACATTTGGAGCATATATGTTTTTAATTCCAATTCTATGTTTGTCTTGGGAAATTCTTAGGGGGTTTTTGCTAAAATCATATAGACCATGAGTCTGAATAAGTTCTTCCTTCACACACAGAAAATGCCGGCGGAGGCGGGAGAAGAAGGACCTAGCGTGGGATGAGCCCTGCTGTGGCTCAGCTTCCTGTTGGGTCATCTTCAGAAGACCCTGCAAGGCTTCATGGGACTTTCTTAGGGATTAGGAAGTCAGTCCTTATAGAGGCAAGCAATTTGCCCGGAGCCTCAGTATCAGGATTCAACCCAAGACAATGCCCAGCCTCTCCACTGAGCCTCCAACTCCCCAGTGGATGCCTTTCCCCTTACTGAGCAGAGAGTGAAGATGACTTTGAGTTACCTCAAAGTGGCACATTCTTATTCTATTGTCACAGTGATGCAAACAACACAAGTATTTCGGGAGAAAAAAGAATAGTCCACAGGGTTAGGCTGATCAACCAGACTTTTACATTTTAATTTCCTTTATTTTTGCAGCATTTTTCCCATGTGTGGACCCAATTTCTTCATTGTTATGTGATACTCAGATTTTATCTTTCCTTTGCAGGATTAAAATATCAGTATCATTATTATTACTAGCTACAGATCATTTTGAGATATATTCGAACTCTTCTGTCCGTTCCTCACTAAAGTGTTATTTTAGAGAAAGCCCTGGTTACACCCGCATCCCACCCCGTGGTGAGAGTTCTGTCAATATTAATTGGTAATCGATGGTGAGGAGTCTGGACTCCCTCCTTCCACCCTGGAGCATGTGTTTTTGATCTTCATGACCTGTTGCCCAGGTGAACAATGACTAATCTTACTAACAAAGCATAAATCTCATTTTCCAATTTGCCGCGTCTCTCCAACCAAACTCAATCCTCTGGGGAGAAAAGATGCACCTGTGTCCTTGAACTATCAACCCAATCATAGGATTATGTTTCCCAGAGTCCCTAAAGCCCTTGCCCGGTCAGCTGCCTCGCAGGTGAACTCAACAGGATAAACCCTTCCCCGTGGTCCTTGACCTCCCTGCTACCCCAGGGTGAGCTTGGCTGTGCTGAGAAAGAATATTACCCTCATGCTTCATGAGTCCTATTTCATGGCTGGGGACCAAGCAGGACCAAGCACCAATTTAGAGACAAGTTCCTGTTGGGCAATTTTTACATTTGCAAACCAAAGAAGTGGAGCTCTGAAGCAAGCTTGGGGTGGCTTTCATTTCATCTCCTTTTCCATTGGCAGCCAATGGCATTTCCAACAAAAGTATGTCACCTTGCCCTGCTCATCTGCCTGTCTCTCTTCTTGCCTCTTTGTCCACTCAAGCTCCCTGATACCCAGCCTCCTCGGCCTGCCTTCTCACGCCCTGAATAATCTGTTCCTCTTCTGCCCACTTACCTCCAAGCACAGACCCAATGAAAACTCCCTTAATGTGGATTTATGCAGGAAGTAATGGATGCACCTCACCATAGCAGCCGGGGAAACAGCAGCACTCCTTCCAGTCTCCATGGGGGATGTGCATCCTCCCCTGGACAGCCTCTCCTCTGATAGCTCCATGATGAAAGTATTGAGCAAGGAACATAGCCTTTCCTGTGTGCCAGGCGAAGTTTCAGGGGCTTCAGCTCTACTGTGTAACAGACTCCTGACAGCTCCTGCTATACTCGAGAGTGTGCGAGGTTTATGTAGGATAGTCCTGAGCAACCCCAAACACATGCTCACTCTACCTCTAGTCATGATTCCTGCTGAAGTCTTGAGAAAACTGAGCTGAGAGAAGATACATGCATTTTCCAAGGTCACCCACCTAGTGAGGGGAGGAGGTAGCCTTGAACCTGGGTGGTTTGCCATCAGCATGGGCGTTCTATGCTGTAGCACAGGGGTCCTCAAGCCCCAGGCCCCAGACCGGTACCACACAGCAGGAGGTGAGCTGTGGACAAGTGAGTGAAGCTTCATCTGTATTTACAGCCACCCCACCATCGCTCGAATTACTGCTTGAGCTCTGCCTCCTATCGGATCAGCGGCAGATGGCATTAGATTCTCATAAAAGTGCCAACACTACGGTCAACTGTGCATGCAAGGGATCTAGGTTGCATACTCTTTATAAGAATCTAATGCCTGATGATCTGTCACTGTCTCCCATCACTCCTATATGGGACTGTCTAGTTGCAGGGAAACAAGCTCAGGGCTCCCACTGATTCTACATTATGGTGAGTTGTATTTCATTATAAATTGCAATGTAATAATTACAGAAATAAAGTGCATAACAAATATAATGGGCTTGAATCACCCCCAAACCACAAAACTATCCCCCCTCCTACCTCCCTGGTCTGTGGAAAAATTGTCTTCCATGAAATCAGTCACTGGTATCAAAAAGGCTGGGGACCACTGCTATTAGCACCTTCTACTGCCTACTCCTCTTTCCTGTTTCAGTGCCAGAAAAACAGGATCAGAAGCCTGGTACTTCTGAAAGGGCTATGTTAAAATCAGGACTGGGCAAATGAGCAGGAATTAGAGGGACCCCCACCTGGAGCTCCTTGGAGCCAGCTCAACGCAGACCAGAGAAGTGGCCATGTGTCTTGAGAGTCATCCTTGCCTCCTTGCCCCAACCTCCCAGGACCAGCTCCTGACAACCAGACTCTTCTGCTCAAGAGCACCCACCTCCGAAGGCAAAGGCACTCACCAGACAACTGAATGCTCCCTGCAAGGAGGGTCTGCCATTTAACAGAGGCCAGGGAAGGAGTGGCCCATTGCAAGTATGCAACGCGTGTTGAAATGTCATGGGACTTTGGGAAAGCAATTGTATCTAAGGCCTTGTCTCAATCATGAGGTCACTTACGGCCTCAGAGATGAGACAGGAAGGGAAAGGGCTTCGGCAGGTGGCCTCAGGCTTGTGTTACAAGCAGCAGATGGCCCCAGAGGTGTCATAGTGGGGACTACCCATGCCAAGAGGTGTGATAAAGGGAGGGTTGGTGCTGAATTTGGGTAAGATCATTGTGTAAGGGACAGCTATCACCTGAACCAAGGCAGGGAACTCCTCAACATGAGAATTTTGGATACTAACCAGCAGGGGAACTGCAGGGGCACAAGAGAGCCAATGTCACCACACAGACCTCCTAAAGCAGCTGTTCAGGGTGGACACACAGTCGCCCCTGCCCACATTTCATGGGTCACAGCAAGTCATGTGGCCAAGCCCAGTTCAGTGGGGAGGGAGGCACACCTTGCCCAAAGGAAGCCATATGGGGGGGAGGGACAGAAGAGTTGTGAACCAACACTACAATCGGCCCCTCTCTAACCTTTGAGGGACATCTGCCTGCTACCCTCAAGCTCAATTTGTGGGTCCAGCCCAGTCTAAAACCTCTGGGAGAAGCAAATTAAGAAGGGATGGTTCTTACCAATGGAGTTGTCTGTCCCATGTGTGCTGGGCAAAGCACGGAACAGGCTTGGGGACAGAGGTTCTTCAAACTTCCAAGTCAGGTGAGGTGGACGTTGAGATAGGCCCTGGTTTTGCAAGGCTGGTGAAGTGGGATCAGGGACACGTACAAAGTCCCCTCCATGACATCAGCCAGGGGGTTCAGCTTCTCCGCTATAGGCCACAGAGACAATGAACTCCAGAGCACCTGCATGTAAGGAAATTAAATGATTTGTGAGATTGTTTTTAGAATGAAGAAGAGCTATGAGTACTACAGGTTAAATGAAAGCAAAATAATGAGGAAAGCAGGAATTGTTAATAAGCAGCCAATAATATTTAATTATTCAGAACAATGTGGAAGGTAGGTACTACTATTCCTATTGTTCAGAAAAGGGAACCAGGACTTGGAGAAAACTTACGACTTGCTCAAAAAAAGCTTATGCTTTGTCCCATTAGGGCAAAGACTCACTTTTGTGGATAAAAAGTATTGCCATGGGTAAATAGTTCCTCTGTTCTGCAGATATGATGGCATCGTACCTGCTAGATGACAATGGAAGCACATGTGGGAAGCAGAATCACCAGGAATGCACTCCCAGAAAGAATCTGAAGGACATGTTCGAAACCAAAATGGGGGTTGGAGCAGAGCCTAGAATGAGTCTTGAGTTCTCAACCCCTGATCTGGGAATTGGTCTTCACTGGTGCCTTCACTGTAGTTGGTTTCAGCTGTTAGTTCTCAACTGAGGGCATAGCTCATGCTTCTGAAAAACTGAAAGTCACAGCTAGTGCTCTCCTCCGTAGCAAGGCTGTTTTGATAGCAGTGATATCTTCAAAGGACCTTGGTGGGTTGGGGGTTACAGGAGATAATTCCTTTCTACTTGCACGGACACTGTCAGTCCTTAATCCAGATATTTTCAGATGTATAGTCACTTTTCTCTGCAGACAGGCTTCTGTGACCACCAGGGGAAAATACAAATCCATTACTATAATTTGCATAATCTGCCCTTTGATCTGCTGAATTGTTTTCTCCTTAGAAAAATGCTGCTCTGCCTGATTTTTTATTCTTAACCTTTTCCACAGTGAAAATGTTTTCCAGGCTTCAGAAATTTCTTAAGTGGATATGACATAAATTTAAAAAGAGCTCCTTTAACATCACCAGCTTAAGTGCCAGACTGGCCATGTGGCTGGGCTTTTCCTGGAGCTTCCTGGCAGCTGTAACAGAAAAGGCTGGATAGACCACTTAGTAAATGAAGCTGGTAAATCAAATATTCATTCTAAGAACTGTCCCTAAGTACTTAGTACCAATTTTACTACTATTCTGCAATGTACTCAGCACACAGAGAGATGGGACAACTGATTAGCTGGAATTGGGGGGCAGGGACCATCCCTCCATTTAATTTCTTTTCTAGTCCTAGACCAGCACAGCACAGAGCCCACAATACTCACATAGGCAGGTGATAATACATTTTAAAAGTGGACCTTTTCAAACCAACTTTACAAAAGTCACTTTTGAAGTCCTTAGCAACATTTGAAATGGGTATTGGATTATTTCAAAGAATTGTTAATTATGT